TGACATTGATTAACCAAACAATTTAAGAAAACACCAAGAGTAATTGTATGCTACGACAATAAACAATAATCCATGATTTAATAAAGAGAACTTTCACCTTTGGAGCCCATACGCTCAACTAATCTAGGCTTTGGCGGAAGAAGCGTCTTCACATTAGAACCGAGGTCACTCCGAGGAAGAAGGAACCTTGGATCGTCGTTCTTGGATAGGTAGCCACATTCCACGAACAACTTCTTGGGCAGCGAGTCTTCAACTTGGGAGAACGATTCCCAGCCGTCGGGCCTTTAATGGTCGCTCCCAGAGTGGATGGGACAGCAGCAAACTACCGCGGGAATCTTTGGACAGCAGTTTTGACAGCAGGGACAGCAGTTGGGAGGCCTTCTCATTGTTGTGGATGCAATGACAAAGGTTGGAATTTTCTGGCTGCAGATTTAGGAGGTAGGTAACTTAATGTTTTCAGAAGTTGGGAAGGATTAAGTGGGGGAGAAGCCAACGCATGAGTCTAGGGAGATTTCAGCCAGCAGCAAGGGAGAATTTCCAATGGGAATTAAATTCCAGAATTGACAGATATGCAAGACGTGGGGGGGAAAAAGGGAGAAGATCCGTTTCACGTTTCAGATTTTTTGAAATCTGGAATTACCATTTCGGAAATTTGAAATTAACCATTTGAGAGGAGACATTAAAGAGGTATTTAAGTGGTGGTGAGGTGGCAATTAGAGAGAGGAGCAATGGGATGAGGTGGCGTTGAGGTTTTAAGTAGGTGGGGACCACTAGTCTTAATTTCAGGATTTTAATAAAATCTGAAATTAAAACTTCAGTTTTTATTTGGGAAGAGATTCCTAAATTACAGCCATTCAATTAGATTGATTTCGAATTTCAAATTCGAAATTTGAAATCCAATTAAATTGAGGGCGTGATTTAGGGAAGCAATTTATGAAGCAATTAATGGCTCATAACCATTTGAATTTCAATTATGAAATTCAAAGGAGGGGAAAGAGGCGGCGGCAGGAAGGGGGGGAAGGGAGCCGACGGGTTGGTGGGCTGGCCGGCGGCTGCTAGTCGGCGGGTTGGGCTGGCCGGTGGCTGCTGGCCGGCGGTTGAGCTGCAGGCCGGCGGCCTGAGTACTCCAGGGAGGGGGCGGTGGCAAGAGCAGGGGAGGGGAGGTTGTGGGGAGAATTTTAGGGATCCAAAATTGAAATTCCAACTTCCTCCAAGAGGCTCCAACCCAAATCCACACAACGACGATGAGATCAAGAGCAATGAAAGAAAATAATAGAGCAAGAAAGAACCTAGAACTCACAAAGAGATCTAGCTTCTCCTATGAACTCACTAAGAGATCATGGTGGAAGAGATACTCCATGGCAAGTTTGCACTCACAAAGAGAGAACATGAATGGCAAATTTTATTCACTCAAAAAATATGAAATTACAATGCTATAGGCCTCATTTAATTAGGCCAATAGATGGGGTGAAATGGGGTGAAAAATAGAAGTCAATACACCAAATGCCCTCTTCCGGGCTACTAAAGCGACTAAAATGCCCATTAAGGGCAAAAGCGGAAAAACATCAAAATAAAAATACGCTACTACATAAAATGACAAAATAACAAATCATGCTCGTGGCCGTCGAAATCCGTTCGGGCGTCGAAAAAAAAATGCTACGATGACCTTCTCAGGATCGGGATCCGGAAAAAACTGAGGCTGTCAAAGGAACACCGAAACGTTCCGGGCACCAGTCGGAATGGAGGCGCAGCGGATCGGGGTCTTACGCCTCCATTGAGCGCTATGAGTTGACCCTGAGTCTTCGAACGCGTCGGACCCGTTATACAAATCACGATTTGGCCATAAAAAAAATTTGTGTTCCATTTTTTGAGGTAAGAACGTCGAGGCTAGCCCAGCAAAGTTACTTTCTGCTCTAACGCTTTTCGGCCCTCATAATGAATAGAACCAGCACTGGAGAAAAAGAAGACAGAAGAACCGCAAAATCAAAATTTTCATTTGGCTGTAGACCGATAGACAGAGAGGAGAGGATAATGGGGGAGAGGAAGAGTACCTCCCAAGCCCAGCCGTTACGACGAGACCCATCCCCAACGCAGCACAACCGCACCCCACACCCGATCTTTATTATATCGTACGGGGACCGTGCGGTGGGGACTCATAATATATATATTAAAAGTAAATTTACCATATTCAGATTGTTGTGTTCCGCAGCCTCATCCCTCATTTTCTCTAAAGGTGTCTCTCGCCGCAAGCTCTTTCCTCGCAGCGCCCCCTAAAAGATTTTAAAAAAAGCTTCTTTAAACTTCTTTGAATTAATTTAAATAATTTAAGGCAAAATTTCCCACCAAATTTTCAAATGATTCCCCCCTCCCTTTTCATA